AAAAAAGAAAAAATCTTAAAGAAACTTAAGTATAAAAAAAGATTAATTATACTAAATACTATAAGAGTTATTAGTAAGTAAGTAGTATATAGAAAAAAACACTTCTCCAAAAGTAATAAAGTTAATAGTAGTTAATAATAATAGTGTTTTATATAATAAACATAAGGCTTAAAAGTTATTTAGTAAGTATTATAAGATCTTAAGTACTAATAATCTTTAGGCTAGGTAGGACTTAGTACTTTAATTTAAGTTATAGTTAATAAGCAAAGTATCTTAGGCCTCTTCTAATAATCCTTACTACTTTATAATAGAACTAACCTTAAAGTTAACTACTAATTAGTATTAGTATTATAAGAGATTATAATTATAAAGTAGTAATAATATTAATTTAACTATTAGTTACTTATAAAGATAATGATAGAAATAAGAAGAAGTTATTACTATAGATACTTATAGTAGTATAAGTAAGCTGTTAAGGTGAGTCACGTGACTCTAGAGATCAGCTCTACCTTTGGCCGGTCAATATCCTGACAATGTCCTGTAACACACCCCCTTAGATTTGTACTATTCCCAGGGCAGATCTGTAACTCTTACTAATATTAGACCTTCTAATTAGGTACATCTCGCTCAAGTCTAGGTGGTTTAGTCTAACCTATAGCGTAGAAAACGTAAGGAGGTGTCAATAGGAATCAAACCCATAAGGTCTATAACGCTTAGACGCTAAACTCTAGGGCTGGTGCTAGAATAGCACACCAGAGCGAACTGGGCTTATAACTGTCACAAGCTAGAGCATACAGCAGATAGGGATATATGAATAAGTAAAGAAAAGGCTTGTATTATAGGAAGAAGAATCCTATGGGTAGAGGGCCTATATAAAGGGGGCCATTGAGCTCGTCTATGTGACATGGCACGTGGTGTAGCTGACGGTATCCGCCCCACATACATGAGCCTCCTGTGATAGATGATGATGGAAAAAACAGCAGGTACCTAACCACATGGTGAGGGGAGGAAGGATACAGGAATCTATATGGCAGGGAGAGGGAGGATCATGAAACACAGCTCCGGCTTAACCTGTCACAGCCAGTGGCATCACCCAAGCTGTCCTGTTCTATTTGCAACAAATAAACTTACCCCCACTGCTCTCATGCAAGCCACAGTATCACACAACAAAGCAGCAAATGTCGCCTTGTGTAAATATTAAGACAACCTCAACATCACGTGTATTGAGCTTCACCTTGGAAGTCACGATTTCATAATCACAACCCAAGACAACAAATCCAGATTGCACAGTAGCCAGGTAGCATCTCGTCAAAGCCATAAAAGCTATAGCATTCCAACCTACCTACCTTAAGATGAAACAGGAGGGAGATCTGCTTTACTTGTGTGCTAAACATGCTCCTTTTTTACACGGCTGCCCTGACTTAGGAAGTAGTATCAGCGACCCCGTGCCAGTCCTTCATCCATGACTGCACCCCCCCCCCCCTCCCCCCCCTTTCTCAAAGACAGCAAAACAACAAACATAAGCAGAAAGGACCCATATATTGACTAGTCGTTGGACCAAGAAACTGATCGCCGAACCTATTGACTAATTAACTTTATCTAGTCTTCTCTCCTGGCGATGTTCCCCTCGTCCGCGGCACTGATGCTCTTGTGAAATTCCTTATAGCGCTCTATATACCTAACTAATATTCTAATAAGTTTGTTAAGCAATTCATCAGGCAGCCCCGTTCAGGCAATAGATTCCGCTGTGTATGCTATGGAGCGATTGAAGGGGGGGCCTTGGCTCGCGGTAGGCTTAGGGGCAAGGCACTTTGTGACAAGATGACAGTAGGCTCGATGCAACCGCTCTGCATGTCCATGGGCCCTCTCAGCTAGATTCGCGCTTGACCTATATTGTCGCCACATGATGCAAGTCTCGTTGTTCGGAATTGGTAGGTCGAACTTGTCGGGATATTCAACCGGCCGATGGTGGAGCCAATCCGGAATCACGTGAGTTACCTCGGCGGCTCACTTACACCACCACCACAAATATCCGCAGCAACAACTTCTTCCTGTTCTTTTCATCATCATCTACACAAGCAACTAATAGTCGAATTAACACTATTACTGCTTTTCGATCGCAATCGCCCGTGATACCAACAGAACTCTTGTACGAGAAGATCTGTTATTTCCGCGAGTTCCTGTTGGTAGTTAATGAAGGCAGCCACGTTAAACTTGGGTTTAGTGTTGGGTTGTCCCTCGGCTGCTCGGGTGACCATGGAGTAGAGGCGGGAACCCTAGCCTCTGTCCTAGTCAGTCAAACATGTCTCGAGAAACAGGGCAGCTATCATGGAAATTCCATTGATAACGATGGGAGAAGTCATGCTGTGCCTTAGTCCGGTTTCATTTGTGGCGCCTCCTGCCTGAGAAGTTAGCCAGCTTTGGGAGACTTGAGTGTTGTTACTTGGGTGAGGGTCTAGCGCTGCCTTGGTCTTGGCGCATCCACTGTATGGCACGTGTTGGAGTTGATCCCACCGGGCTTGGAAGTAACGCAGCGGGATGCCTGTACGACCGTTCTATGTACTGACGAATGTGGTTGATTGATGATGTTTCTCGGAGGTTCCAACAACTGGAAAGTGGCAGTAGCAGTGCGCTTTTAAACCCGAACAGTCCGCTCCTTCCTCAGTTGGTCGGGCGACGATGGAGGGTGGCAGGGTCTATTAAGGTCAACTATGTCTTAGCTAGACTCCATTTCTGGCCACGTGGCGTTTTCCGAGTCTTCAATCCAGCCACGGGGATCAAGGACAGGTCGTCAAACCCGGATATCTGCCTCGCAGCCGTGACAACAACGCGGAAGGACGTTTTAAGGCGGCCCAAGGAGCCGATTGCTTGATGTGATTTGTCACCTGCGTGGCCGAGGACCTGGAAGTGCTCGGCTGGAAACTTTTGGTAGGCATCATGGTATTCCTGTGGTCAAGACAAAGCCAGAGTATTCTGGAACCGGTAGGCTCCGAAACTCGCGTCGAACACACGCGTCTTGAGTTGGGGGAGGTGCCTCGTTTACTTGTGAGCTGGCAGGTAAAGTAAAGTTCAGCCATCCTCTCCGTTGTTCCTCGTTGGTTTAACCGTCAGTTCTCATCTCCCGACAATCTCAGTTCAACTGCCAGAACCAGAAGCTATCTGACCAATTCTATGCTACTTCGTCTTCTGCTACTGCTGCTTAGGCATCTTCTTACTAGGTACAACAAGGAGAGGGCCTGCGCAACCATGTCTCTGTCCAATCCAGCGTTTCGTCCTACCGAGGCGGTGAGAGAAAACGTCTCATCCGTAACGCTACCGGGGCCTCAAGATCGAACCGCAGATACGCATTTACTGGAGCCTCGCTCTCTCCACCAATGAAGGCGGAAGGGCGCTACGATCATCCGAGAAGTTGACTTTGAATTCTGAAACCGAGTGATGTCCAGTTCACGACAAGGAATGCGATACTCACCCAACGTTGTGGTATTTCCCACCACATCCGTCTCCTGGACCCTGACCTAGGTGATAATGAACACGATCTCCCCCCGATCACTGAAAAGAAGTTGGTGACAAGTTCATTGCACTTGCTGAGTGGGGAATAAACGGCGACCATTTGTCGGGGTGCTGATCATTGTGGGCCGAGTAGCGTACTTACAAGCAGCGTGGAGAATATGGTTAATTGGTGTACGAGATTACCATGAGATGGCTGGACAACTTCCCTGGCTTTGTTGGCTGTTAGTGAAGTGGCACTGCTTTGTACGCCGTTTGGGGTTTCAGCTCGAACAGACTCGTCCATATTCTTCTTTAGCTCCTACAATGTTTGCTCGAAGTGTTGTACTTCCTGGGACAAGAAGACTGGGAGCCACTGAATATCGAGAAACGTGGAGGTGAGCTCGTGCTATGCCAGCCTGCCCTTACTCCAGTAGCGGATTCAAAGTCAGTCGAGCCATACCCACAGTTTTATTGCTTGGCCCATCAGAATCGAAGACAGCTACTCTGGAGGAGAAGATAGAAGCGGCGGCAGCGCGTTTGCCGACGTCTCGCGCAGGCATTCGGGACCATGTTGCGACTTGTCAGAGTTGACGAAGTCAGGTGTCGGCAATAAAAAGGCACTAGTTTCGATGCACCAGCAGAAGGAAAGGGTTCAATTACAGGGGGAAATGACGCCGAGACGGGAGATCAAGAACAGGCGACGGGCGCGGAAGTAGGGGCGGATAGGGGTGTTAATCGGCTTTAGCAGCCGTCGAGGTGAGGGCTAGGAAGTCCGGGCGGTTACCGAGTCGGCGAAGTGAAAAGCATTCGCATACGCCGCAAGCACAAGATTGCTTGGCACATGAGCGTGGATGCCGCGGTGCCGTAGAGGGCCTTGGTCATACTGCTAGGTCTAAGCTAAGTAGAGCGGAATAAGATGCCTGTGGACATAGTACAGAAAGGAGAATTTGTTTGTCATAAATGAATCGTATGGCCTGACGACATAAAGCTTATAGAGAATACCTTTTATATTGATTAGACAAGACGCTAGCTAGAACCGTAGTGGAATAATCCGGAGAGCATTAGTTTCTTAGTTTTCGACTTAAACTAGTTGCAGTAGAGCTTGCATTCCGGCTTACTGCTTGTAATTAAAATATATAAATAGGAGGATTTAAAGGGTTTTACTAGTATCCTATTCCTAGTCATGGAGGTATTAATTTGATTGAACCCCATCATTACGCGTGTCTTCTTCAGCTTCTCTCATAGTGATAAAGTAGTATAGTAAGACTAATTCTCTTTCTTTACCTGGTTTTTACAGTAATTCCATAAATAAGGTTATATAAACAAAATAAAATTTTATAATTATATAATAGAAGAAGTACATGCATTTTGTTTAGATATGAATTATTATATTAAAAAGATATTTGTTTTATTCTTATCCTTTACTAATACACTTTACTGCGTGCTGTAACTTGTAATAACTAGATTAAGTGTTATTTAACCTATATGATTCATTTATGTAGTATCTAACTTTATGCGGATCCCGGCGCTGATAGTTCTGGGTAGGCAATTGCATCAAGAGCGAAAAAGGCATAGTTTTGAGCATTCTTAATCTTTTGATTATGCGGAAGAAGTGCACAGCTAATCAGTAGAAGATAAGCGTTAGCTGTAGTCTTGACTACCGATTTAATCCATAATGGTGACTTACCAGCGTATTCCATAGCACTTGCCTTTGCTACGTGGATTATCCACGTCAATAGCAGGGGGTTCCGGAGATGTTGCTTTCGGCATATGCTGAAGCTCGTGAAGTAAATAGAAACCTCTTGAGTACTCTGCTATGTCGATACTTTGCCTATACGATGCCACCATTTTGTCGTTGGTGTAGATACTATTGTGAAAGAATGTGGGGCATGCTGCTAGTATAGTTGGCCCTGCGCGCTCGCCGTTGCGAAGCTTGACAGTGGTAACGGAAGCCATACCATCTTCTTCACAAAGTTCGCTGAATAGCCCACCTGGAGGTGGACACAGGTATAGTAGAGAGTTGATTCCCGGTGGAGGGTCACCCTTGCCGACTACAAACTGAGCACGTCCTTTCGTTAATAGTGTGACTGGGATGGCAGGGGGTACTAGATGTGTATAGGCGGTTGTGTAGTGCTGGTCAAGGAGTGTGTTTACGAATTGGGGATTCGCGTTGCCTAATGTGTGTCAGTATTCTTCTCTCATCTAGTTTCGTGTTTACTGAAAGACTGAAAGACATTAAATAGATACACTTACTTGATCCAAACCAGGTGTAGAACGCTCGCGAAGTCTCAACACCTTTAACTCGCAGTACTTTTGAGGCTGCGTCAGCAAGTTGTTTTGCCTCTGTGATGCTTTGCATAAGCGTTTGTATCTGGGCGTTGCTGCATGCTGCTGGATTTTGTGAAAGTCGATAAACATGATCATATACGTCGCTGTAGCCACGACTTTGGATGGAATAGTCATAGGCCTTTGGGACTGCAGCCACAGGTTGCAGACTAATTAGAAACAGATTCCAGAGAAAGATAGAAAACCGTGGAGTTCTAAGGTGCATTATCACGATTCTCTTAAGAGGATAAAAAAGATTAGAGCAGAAGATAGTTAATAGAAAGAAAGACCGTGGAGTCAGAAGACAGATATTAAGGCAAAACTAGGTCCCGGGCGGTCCTAATAACAAAAGTCTTTAATTCTAATAACCACACTTAGCAAAATCCGTCCCAGAAATAATGTCGACATTTACGATGGTATCCAGCCGAAGTTTATGACCCCTGTCAGGTAACTGACGTTCACCCCCTACAACAGGACTTCACTTTTGGTGAATATTCCTCCCCTATTATGATATCAGCTGTGGGAGGTAACATCATAGGGGTCATTAACTTGTCCCTACAGGCCTGTATATTTAAATCATGTATCTAATTCAAAGAGTAATAAATCTAAATAAAGAGAAAAGCCATAGACGCTAGAGGTATTTTAAGTAAACCTTTCTATTAATTAATATAGAGTGTTTAGAGTTAAGCAGGCGCCACGACTGCTGCGCACGCCTGCCCCACACCGGCCCCGCCGAGAGCCCCATCTTTTACATCCACTTAGGTAGTAGTGAATATGGGTTGCCCTACTTTCTTGAAGGAACTACTGTATCCTCTTAATAAACTAAGATTCCACTCTTTTTTAGGCTAACGGTATAAAGTATAGTGGTCGCTAAAAAGGGCCTGTCGTACTACCAGAAGTAGGGATCTGGTAGTAGTAAAGTAAGGGGTTAGTTATGTACGCTACCAGCAAGTTAGGTAGTAAGGGTAAGGGCTAGTAAATTGACTTATAGTTAGTCTTATATTTCCTCCCTTCTACCTAGGGCTAGGAATTAGTTATAAGATAGTAAGGATTATAATAGTTAATTAATTAATTGTACTATTATATATATAACTATAGTAAAATTCTATAGAAATAAAGAAACCCTTTACTTCTTAGTTAGGAAATCCTGAGCTATTTCTAGCTATATAATTAGTAAGATTACTAGTTAAGTAAGGCTATTTAACTACCTATTTACTAAGTATATACTATAAGTTAACTATATCTTTACTAGTTAGTTTATATATACTCTTACTTTATTTAATACACCCCTTTAGGACAAGTAATATAATTAATTATAATAAAGTATATACTAAATACCCTCTATTTATAGTCTATTTATTTTTAAATCATTCTTTAATATCTTATATATTTCTCTTACCTATCTAGTAGTAAAGCTTTACTTTATTACTAGCTAATTCTTACTATTAATTTACTTCTAGGCACATGTATTAGTTACCTATATTTAATTAAGCTATAAAGGTAGTAGATTAATTACTATACTAAGCGCCTTTATTAATCTATTAGCTATTAATTTAGTAGATTTCTTATATTTAATAGTAATATAACTTAGTACTACTTCTTAATATAGCTAGTAGTTATAAATATATACTATAGCCTTATCTATAGTTAAACAAAATTCCTAGTTATATAACTAATAGTCTAAGTATTATTATAGCTAATATAACTAAGATATAACAGCTTATATAACTATAACCTAATGTTTAACCTTATATTTAACTTTATATTTAACCTTATATTAAACCTTAAAATAACACTAATATATATATATATATAAGATATTTAGTATAACCTTTACTTATAGATATAAACCTATAGAGATTTAGTGTCTATAGTACTTTATCTCTAAGAGTATAAAAAGTAGATATATATAAATAGTAACTAGATCTACTCTAGGGTACTAAAATAAAAATATCTACTTAGATAAAACTAGATATTAAACAGGCTATAACAAGTTATAATAGGTTTTAAAATAAGCTATAATAAGCTCTAACAAGCTATAAAAATATAAAGTTTTAAATCTATATAATAGTATAATATAATATAAGGGTTAATATATATTATTAGAAGTTTAGAATTTAGTTAATTATATGTAGTGATAGATCTCTTTAAGACATTCTAGCTCTTTATACTTTCTAAGAATAATATAACTATATTCATGTTTTTATTTATTTATTTATCTAATTAACTAGCTAACTTACTATTCTACTTACTATTTCTTATTATATAAATAGTATTATAAAGTAGCATTACTATAGAGGTAATTTATATCGTTAAAAGTAGCTTATTATTTCTAGATAGTATTATGCTATATATTATAGCTAAATACTACCTTGTTTCTATATAATAAAGTAATATTGTACTAGAAGTAGTATTATATAGTAATATCTTATATAAGGCTATCTTATTCTTTATGATATACCCCTCTAAGTAGTAGTATGTAATTAGCTATTACCTAAATATCTTAATTGTAAATAAGAAGATAAATAAAAATCTAGTATAAAAGGGCTATTATTATATAGTTCTACTTTACTTTCTTTTTCTTTAATAATAATAAGAAGGTATAAGTAAATAATTTCTTTTTATATTATATAATATCTTATAGTACTTTATTACTTTTATTACTTATTATTACTAATCTCTACTAGTAATTTATTACTAATATTTCTATTTAAATACCTTATAGAATAATAACAAGTAAGGAGGTATACTATTATATTATAGTAATACACTATAGTAGTTACTTTCTATAGGTAAGTAATTTACCTACCTACCTCTTATACTAATTAAAGTAGTAGTATAAAGAGAAGCCTTATTAGCCTCAGAGAGTTAAAAAAATACAATACAAATAAAATACAATACAAATACATGTATTTGTATTTTTTTTCTAACACAATACAATACATGTATTTGTATTTGTATTTTTTACTTTACACAATACAATACAAATACAAATACATGTATTGTATTATGTATTTAATACAAAAATACAAAAACAAAATACAAGATTATTAATTCCTTTATATATTAATATATACTATAATTAAGTAAGATATAAAAGTATAGTAGTATAACCTTATTAATATTATTATATATATTAGTTAATAATACTAAGACTTTTAACTTTATTACTATAAAAAGTATTTAAAAGAATATTAATAATATTATATTTCTTTACTTCTTTAATATTATAATTTAATATAACATTTATATTACTTTCTTTTTATATATAATAGCTAAAGTAAATACTATACTCTATAGTGTTACTAATAGTGTTTTATAACCTAGTAAATTAGTAATAGTAATAAATTAAAGATTAAAATAAAAAACAACTTACTTTAAAGCCTTTAAAGGTACTATTATTATTATTAATAATCTTATTATTATTAATAATCTTATTATTATTGATAATCTTATTATTATTAATAATCTTATTATTATAGGTCTTATATAATAATAGCTTTAAGGTATTAGTAACTATAGTATCTTTATTATTTATAATAATATTATATAATATACTATAAGAGTTAAATATTTCTTAAGTATTATAATTTTACTTTTCTTATAATTATTATTATCTACGTTTTATATTTTCTAAGTTATTTAATAAACTAAGATATATAAAAGAAATAGAACTATTTAATTCTTTTATTAAGTTAACTAAATCTATAATATTAGGATTAGTAGTAGTATTAATTATAGTATCTATAGTATTATAATAGTTCACTTTTTCATTTTAGGTCTAAGTACTTCTTATACTAAAGTAGACTTAAG